TCTAACCGGGTGCTAGCTCTGAACATTCAGCCGAAGGCCTTCAACTACAACATACGGTAACTTCGCTATGCTGCAGCTTCTCTACGTGGTGCCAAGACCAAAATGCACAAACACGCCAAGAAAGTGAGTTCCTGATCTGCACTTCCGAAACTGGAAGAGTCCCAAGGCAAAACGCCTTGATCTACTTTATACTCTCAAAAGATCCTAACTAGCACTACGCTATCCTATCTACCACTCGCAGTATCTGCGCGAAACCAAACTACTCTACTGCACTCAGCAGATCCGGTGCTGCGCCTCCTGCGCGCCGGACTGCTCCGCTTACTATCTCTACCTTGCCAGTCTTCCGACCGGCTGCGTAACCCCAGGCGTCGGAGCGCTGTGGTGACTTCCGACTGCAAGTGCGCCATAGTGTCGCGCGCACCCGACAAGAAGGTTTCTAATTTTCTCGCCACTCGCCGCCGACTCCGACTGTCACCTTCCGTCAATGCCACCGCCCGAAGCTCGAACTCCCTGAGTGTGATCCTCTCTTGAGCTGCCACCTCCCAATGGGTGTATCCTTTTAGACAACGAGTCACCTGTGCCGCCAACTCTCCTCGCGCCCTGCAGCTGCTCTCCACCTCGGCCAGCTGCATTTCTAATCCCGCACGTTGTGCCCTCAAATCCGAACACTCGGATTGCAAGTTGCACAGCAACTCCTCATCCTCCTTGCGGGCTCTTTGACTTTCTTCTAAGGCGCGCGTCTGGCGCGCAAGCTCGGCTGCTAGGACTTTGTTCTGTCTCCGCTCCTCCTGCAATTCCGACTCGATCTTTGCCCGTATTAGCTCGGCATCCGCCTGACTTTTCGTCGCCGCCTCCTCCCTCTGTTGCTGCAAGGCTTGGTATAGCTTCTGTGTGACCGCCAGGTGTTGTCGGAGGGCGGTGTTCCTATCCACATATACTCCGCACCTAGAGGCCCACTTTGCCACCTTGCTCCTCGTCCTTCTCCTGATAGTCTCCACATAAGACTGCGGTTTTAAAGCACTTGCGTATTTGGATGTCTTGCGATCCAGATATCGCAGGAGTGGAACTATCTGTTCGCACAGCACCCCTGTTGGCGTTTTCTGCACCGAATCCGCTTCTTGCTCTTCCGAGCTCGTCTCATCCTCAGTCTCGAGGATTTCAGTCGCCACCGAATCCCTTGGCGACTCCCTGGAACTGTGGCGCGCAGCAGCTTCCGCTGCGACTGCTGCTCCACTGCCTGCTAAAATATCCAGGGCAGTGGGAGATCCCACTGCTTGAGCCCCTGTTCCGGCTCGATCTTCGGTTTGTGAAGGGGTCGACGCCGCAGTGACTTTTGTCACTCTTGCACCGCCCGCTTCTGCTGCCTGTCCTTCCGGCGCAATCTGCGCGGAAGGTGTCCTTGCTGAAGGTGCGTCCGCCGAAGGCGTCCGCACACTGGTCGTTGGCCCCATCCGTCTCGCAGTCGGCGAATCCGGCTGACTCTCTGTTGTCCGACTCGCAGTCGGCCGACAAGCAGTTGTCCGACTGGGAGTCGGATACACCCTGCGCGTCTTGACTCCACTTGGCCTGCTTGTTGGTGGCGTTCTTCCAGAAGTGCCTTCCGCCGAAGACGACCCACTGAGGATTGTTGGCTCGTCAGCCAAACTCTCTTCTGCTTCCGGCCTGCTATCCGGTTCAACGCGCCGTTCAGTTGGCCTTCCTTCCGCTTGTCGACCTTCAGTCATCCGACTCGCAGTCGGCCGGCTGTCAGTCCGTCCATCTCCTCCCGAAGGCCGTGGTGCCTTCTGTGCAGAGGTATCTGCCGTCTTCCCTAGAATCTGAGCGATTATCTCTTCCTGTGTGAGATTCCGCCGGGTCGGAGTTCGCCTGGTCTCCTCAGTAACAGTTGGCATTTTGCGTGCCCTTTGTTTTGGTCGACTGTGAGGCTCGGGGGTGGGCCGACCACGAGTCGGCGCAGCTGGCACTTCCGGCTGCCTGTCCTCAGGTCTCTCATCCCACTTCCGCTTTCGCGGAATGCGCTCACTTCGACGTTCTTCTGCTGCTCTTGCTGGAGCCGGAGCCGGAGGCGTACTGGCAGGTTCCTCGTCCGGATCTGTGTCTACTTCGGCCTCCCTCGAATATCTTCCTGGATAAGTCCGGGTCAGCTGCGGAAATTGAGTTTTCTCAGCATTCGTCAAACATCCCATCGCCCGGTAAAACACGATTAAGTAAGGCGATAGATGATTGAGGGTTCCTCCCCTCTCTTCTTGCGCATGTTGGCGCGTCACCTTCCACAGGAGCCGTGCCCAATGCACCGGAGCTCCTGACAGCACTAGCTCCACGAACTCTACCTGCCAACCATGCATGTAAGCGGTCTTGGTCGGCTGCAATATCTGCAGCAATGCCGTCGCGACATTTCTCCGCAATCGATCCTTGTAATCCCGTGTCCGGAAACCGTTCTTGGGATGTCTGGCCACTTTGAAGAGCTCATTGTAAGAGACTTCTTCCTCCTGGGACACCTTCACGCTATCGGCCTCGAAGAGGAGATCCCCTTCCTCGCCGGCACACCTGCCCAACACCTGCGCCCAATTGCAAATGTCTCATCTCTCTGGGTGTGGGCGAAATCCGCGAGAAGGCTTGTGTCTCTCCTGCAGATACTCGCGCACCATCTCCGGACATGTCCAATTCCACCCCCATAGGAGAAAATCGAGCTTCAGCCTCAACAGCACATCTTGAAATGCGCGTAGACCGATCTGCGGCACCCTGAGTGGAGACACTCGCAGCTGGGGAACCTTCGACATTGCGTTGCCTGCACACACACAAACGTTCTCCCTTTCGCTCGCTCTCTCACAATCGCCACTGCGCGTCGGCCACTCAAGCACTGACTGCTCACTCTCTCTGCGCTCGTTCAAGATCTCTACTCACAATTCTTTCAAGGTCCGCCAAGATCCTTGCGCAACTCGTCTCCGCACTCTCTACTCTCACTGCAGGTCGCTCCGCCCTTGCGCGTAATCTTGGAACTGGAAATCGCAAAGTCAAGAATGAGAGAATGAGACTGGAGCGCAGTCTTTTCTTCTCCGATTTCAAGAACGTCCAACGTTCTTACTGGTTGCAACGTACGCAGCCGGCTATACGGCTTAACGGTTCGCCCTTTGCATGCGCGAATTCACGTCTCCGCATTGCGCGCATTCGCATGCTTAAACGTTGAATTCTCCCGCCGCCGCCACCTTCCGGACTCGAGTCCGCTGCAGGGTATACGTCGGCCCTGTTGTCTTTTCCTAACCCGTCCTTCACCGGAGGCGTGTCGCCGCTGGTGCGTTCATTATCCGTCGGCGCCTTGCTGGAGGCGCACATCCAGCCGGAGCGAATTACGCCGGCGCGCAGTCGTACCGCCTATTTTGTCCTTTATGCCTCGTCCGTTGCTGCCGGCGCATATCCGTCAGCGCAACTCATGCCAGCGCATCCGGCCGTCAGCGCCACGTCGGAGGCGTACATCCGACCGGCGCTTTCCTTCCATGAACAGCCGCCAAGGGCGCTTCCGACTCTGAGTTGGTTTCCTCCTGTGAGCGCGTGATTCCGCCAAAGGCGCATCGCCGAGGGCGTACGGGAATCCTTTCCGGCTGTGAACCCTAGCGCGAACGGCGCATGTCCGGCTACGAGTTTTCCGACGCTCATAACTTCTCCATTCCTGATCCATCTCCGACGCTCTTGGACTCGTTAGAACGAGCGTCCCGAGCTCTTTCTAATGCAACTTCAACCAACTGGATCTACCGTGTATCCCGATTGTTATGAAGGTTTTCTCTTTCCGCGCTAGCGGCGCTTCGCCGAAGGCGCACTCATGGTCGGATGCCTTTAGAGGTCCGGGCCCTTCTCCTGACGTCTTTAGCAAAACCTCCTCCTGAGGTGTCTGCGCCGGAAGCGTAGCTTCCTTATACGCTAGAGGCGCGTGAGTAGAGACACCTCAAAAAGGAGCTTTTGCCGAAGGCGCCGAAGACGTTGGCGTTGGTACATCCGACTACGTGATTCTTTGTGCCCTCGTGACGATCTCATCAATCCACTCTATTTAGCGTACCCTTCTCTAGCTACAAACACTGCTTTGGTACTAGTTTTCTAAAATTGTTTAAATTCTGCAAAAAAAACAAAAAGTGTGTTACCACATACCCGCTAGGCACTATCTTAATAAGTTTCCTTATCTATTCTAGTAAACAGAACTAGATTCAGAACTTCTTCATAGTAAACGAGCAAAAGGTTGATTAAGGTAAGCAAAAACACCAACGCAGAAAGGCTCTTGAATCAGCGTCTCGACTGGATCCGAATGTTTCTGAGGGCACAGCTCACCATCCAAACGACTAGCTCGATTACTAGATATGATCTCTTGAATCAGATCTAGTCTTGCTAGAAGCTTGCAAGGAACTTTCAAGGGGATATTAGCCCTTTTCGTGGGGTCTTTAAGGGTCCTTTGGGATGGTTTCTCATCATCTATGTTGTTTTAGGCACTAGCCCAACATAGGCTCCTGTGCCACCGGTGACGCCCAACTCTTCAACGGAAGAAATGTTGAGATCCATGGTCTAAATGGCTGAAAGTGAAATGGCACCATTCCAACCATTTATCTTCAGTCCATTACTCCGGTTGCTTGAGTCAAGGACTGATCGTCTTGCGTGATTCACGTGACGCGAATGACCCTCAATGACAATCTGTGATTGTTCCGAAGCAGTCAGTCTGATGGGATCCGACTGGATATGGTGTCCCATCCGGTGGGCGAAGAGCACGAGCACGCAAAGCAGCATCTGCAATGAGCAAGCTGGAGGCGCTGACAAGCAGGAACAATATTGTGAGCAGGGTGGAGCTGCTGTATGTACCCATGTCGTTGACATGGGCACCAGGAGATTGAGGGTGTGCCCAACGTACTTAAGATGAAAGGGCAGAAATCGTAACCAGGTTCGAACATGGTAGTGGGAAATTATACCTTTATGCCTTTTATACCCCTTCATAAAGGCCACACAATTGGGTATAAAGGCCAGTGAATACCTCCTTGCAACTCACACTGCTGCCTCTTCGTAGGCAATCTCCTTCTCGCCGGACTCTCGTCATCGTTGTCATGCGATATTGGGCACATTCTCAATCTCCTGGTGCCAAGGTCAACGAAATGGGGACATACAGCAGCTCCACCATTCTCAACACATTGTTCCTGCTTCTCAGCGCCTCCAGCTTGCTCTCTGCAGATGCTGCTTTGCGTGCTCCGGATTTGACGATCTACATATTTCGGACCACTCCTCCTGCGCCCAACGCAACTGTAGTGGCAATTTATCCACCTGGTCTTCGACCACCGGATGCGACACCATATCCAGTCGGGATCCCCATTGTGTCCGTCGGTGACAACCCCATCAGACTGACTGCTTCAGAAAAATCACAGATTGTCGGCAGGCAGAGGGTGTTTCGCGTCACGGGAATCACGCAAGAGGATCAATACCTGGCTCAATCAACCGGAGTCTTGGACCTGAAGCTAAATGGTAAGAATGGTACCATTTCATTTTCAGGCATCCAGACCAGGGGTCTCAACATTCCTCCCGTTGAAGAGTTGGGCGTCACTGGTGGCACGGGAGCCTATGAGTCCGCAAGCGGTCGCGCCAAGGTGACTCTCATTAGTAATTCTGCTTCCAAGACAACCTTGAAATGGGAGGTGTACCTTTGCTACCCAGAACTATGCAGGGTAGATTCCTTGTTGAACTAGTGCCAATAACAAAACAGTCCATGAGAAATCATTCACGCAAACGGGATTATCCCTTCATAAGTTCCATGCAAGCTGCTGCCAAGACTAGATCTGACCTAAGAGCTTAGATCTAGTAATGGAGATAGTCGTTTTGGACAGTGATCTGTGCCCACTGAATCCCTCGGTCCAAATACAGACTCTGATTCAAGAGGATAGCTGCATTGGAACATGCTTATCATAATCAACCCTTTCCTCGTGGATTATGAAGCATTTCTGACTGTGGGCCCATCATACTCAAAGTTCTGGTTTCTAGAAAGCTGTGGAATCTTTGAACGGTATTGCTCAACGGGTTCAGGGTCAATAAAAAGGGAGGTTTCTTACACTTGATAGTGGTCAATTGTAGACATACGAATGTAAATAAACCTTGTATCTTGAACATTCTTGTGTTTATGTTCTATTTGAAACGCTTTCTTATGGTTAGATTTCCATGCAATAACGAGCATATCTTGATAAAGTCTGCATTTTATATCTTATGGCTACTTCTAAGGAATGCCAAAGAACGACAGAATCATACAGAGAAACATTTCCATTACATAAAAGAGGGCTGTTGTGCGTCATCCTCTACTTGAAGGTCTAGAATGATCAGCTTCAGTGAAACCTGATCACCTTCAACCGCTGGGAATCGAAGGTGTCTGAACATGTTCCCCGATGGATCTGCAGATTCAGGTGTACCTACATGGATAGGAGGCAAGGATAATTTGTTTCGGTTTTGTTGGGTAATTCTCTTCCATAACGATGTTTTGGTATTCAGGAAATGATCTCAATTCCAAATCAATGAGCTGGATTCCACTCTTTGTTTTGCAATTCCAGAAAAATGTCTGGAATTCAGCTCACTGACATTATTTTGCTAATTATTCAGATAATTAAATATGACATTTTTTCCAGTAAAATATTTTTTAAATATTTATTTTTAATTTCTATAAGTTTAATATAATTAATTTCAAACAAAATATTGTATATGTATCAACAAATTTGAAAAATAACAATTTTTTCTTAAAAAATAAAATTTGATATGAGATTTATTTTTAAAATTCATTGTTGAACTTTCAAGTAGATCAAATCGGAAATTTTGTAAAATAATTTATTTTGAAAACTCAATATTGAATTTCTCTATATAAAATTCGATGATAAAATGTAAGTAAATATTTTTAAGAAATTTCAATTTTTGCCACTTTTTATTTTATTCAGAATTCAAATTGAAATTTATTAGATGAATTTTGAGAATTCTTATGAAAAGTCAAAAATAAACAATATCAGATGAAATAAAAATTTCAAGACGAGAAAACTGTGTTTTATAATATAGGTAATTAAGATCTTTAATTTAATAGGAATATTTGTAACAGAGCAAGTGAGAGAGAAGTATTGAATTACAAAAAAAATCCTGAAAAAATGAAAGAATATTCTATGATTAAAAACATTCAAATGTATTTCTCACATAAGAAACAACTTCATATATTTTAATATGGTAGAACCATTTGATATTAAATAAAAACTAATTGATTTTGTGATTACTCTCATGCCTTGTGAACTTGAGTTATACTTAATACAAGTTCAGTAGGCACAACACTTTTTATAACTCAAGAAGCAAAAGGTTTTGTTAGAAAACTTTCTAGTAAGACTGAAAATGATTACTAATGATATTCAAAACTATATATATATATATATATATATATATTTCACAAAAAATTTGCATCTTTATTGTTTTGTGTCGAATACTTTAACCATTGTGTACCACAATACTAGTATAAATTTATTTTTATTACATATAAGCATGTTTCATTTTCTTATGATGTGACTATTTTAATCTCTTTTTTTTATGATCGCTTGCAATTTTTTTTTTTTCTTTTCATTTAAAATGTAAAATATACATACTGTCAAGAATTAAAACCCTAAATAAACACTTCTGATTACATACTTTAGTTTTTTTCATAACTCACAGGTGTTTCATAATAATTTCAATGTGACTTATTAATTAAAATGTACCAAAATTTTCATTGCACTTTCTAGATTTTATATTCATATATTTGAAGTATTTTTTAAAAATTTCCAAACAAACTCAAAACAGTTGATACAAACTTATCGCCTTTGTGTATTATTTTATTGATAAGTTTTCAAATTTATTCAAGCATATTGTTTGAAATCACACAATCTCATTATAAAGATGTGAAATAAATTCATTGCTTGAAATTTTCAAAAGAGATTTCTTCAGCATCACAATCTATGAAATGAAAGTAACTTATGAAACCCTATCTTTCTGGAATATCATATAATACAGTTCATTCATTCTCAACTAACATAAAATGTAATAAATTTATATCCGATAGAAATAACATGAACTATCATATAACATCATCGATACATAAAAATAAGATAAAAATTTATTCATATTTATCTTTCATCTTTCAAAAGTTCTTCACTTTTTTACCTTGCAAGTATTCACTTTACAAGATTTTCCTATATAAACAACAAACACATGGTTTGATGCTTGAACGAAACATCAATAGTTGTGATATTCTTATAAATATAGATATAGCTTACTTGCAGTACATGTTGATTCCTTTTATCAAAGATGACACTTGGATCTCATTGAATATTTCCTTCCTCATAATTTTCATTTTCCTATATAAATTCTTAGTCTCCTATGGCTATTTAATAAAGTTTGCAATTGGATATGTCCAACTCTTTAAAACGTTATGAAGTTCATATTTCACTCACATAACTTGATCTCTCCAGGCATCTCTATTACAAAGTTTACAATCTCCACAGCTCTACGTAGTGAGATGGAGACAAATAGGGATAAGTGGATCATGGAATCCTCGGTAAGAGATATAATCTTCAGATGTTATTGATCACAATCTTCAACGAACTCCCGCTTAGCGAATATCGATATCCAGCAGTTTCCTGATAATAAGACATAAAACCCCACTATTATCAATACTTTTGAACACCTGCTCACTTCTGCTCCCACAGGTTTTCCATCTTCTGCATTCAGCTTCGCTCGATAACAATCGAGTCGTAAGATCAGCAAACTCTCGCAAATGGGTAAAAAATGTGTTAAACAACGAGCTGCGATTTAATTAGACATGAATCCAAAATAGAGAAGTTGTGTTCATAATGCGATTTTTTCAACAGTGTTTCTTAAACAAACGGAGTATACCAAATGAAGGAATGAGAAGTCGCCTCGTGACGGCTGTCGGCTGGTTGGACCCGTTCTGATCGAGCAGAACAAGACTTGGGTCCGCGCCAATAATCTGGCCGTCTTCTGTAGTCAAAAATTGCTGCACGGCAGGGGTCCACTGGTTTTGACTGTGAGGACTGAGGGGAAGTTGAGCCGTAGTCCATGGGAGACTGTCTTGGGGCGATGAGAGTCAACAATCTACGATGTCTGACCTTAACCTTGGTCTGCTTCGGGGTTTCATGAGCGGTTGAACGTTGTCGACTATCTGCTCATCGGAGGGATTGATGGTTGGCAGTCCTCTGTGCAGGCAGCTTCATGTTTGGAGCAACAGTTCCGACAAGTCTGAAGAGACCAAGACCGAAGGAGGCATGCTGACAGTTTCTCCTGCACGTCCTTCACATCCAGACAAATGACATCTGCTTTTTACTGCCGCAACACAGTTCCACATGTTGTTAGATTTCCACTTCATATTGTCGTTGACACTTTATCTCATTTACGTTGAGGTATTCATGGATATTACTGGGCACCTCCAAGCTTGTCCAATATGGTCTTGTAGCCCTTACCAAAAGAATAGCATGGACCAAGAGTGCAATACGCATGCCAAACGTACAAGCTGAAAGTCACGAGCTAACAGTTTCTTGAACCCTTCTTCAAAGGTCTCAAGAAACCGACCAAATTAAACCGAGGTATACCCCATCCATCCGCGGCGCCCTTCTAGTTGAATTTGAAACAAAATCTGCTGTGATTCCAGGTAGATAATTTATAAATTTCAGTTGCAGTATTCCTGAAAAATGACAAGGGAAAGAACTGTATTGATATACATTAAAAAATGTATGGATGTATTTAGATAAATTTTTTTTAATTATGTATTTTTGAGGAATTATCTTCATATATAAGAGTCTAAAAAAAGCTAATCCAAATATTTGTTACAACATTGCAAAAATATTATAATTTTTCACAAAATAAAATATTTGGATACAATAAGTTGATTTTATTTGTAATATTTTTGAAATTTAGTAACAAATATCCAAATTATAAAAAATTAAAAATTTAATTCAGAATTTTATTCGATACATTATCATCGTCCATCATAGCCACATAAAACTTCACATAGTTGAGAATAGATTCCATTGTTAAAAAAATATTGTAATTAATGAGAAAAGTATCATATATTTGTAGAATATATAATGTCACATCTAGATATGGAGCTATTTGATTATCACTTGGTTTCTGCTCGGCAAATAACTAGGTGAATATTCTAAGAAGAAATTGACACAAATCTCTCGTCACGACACTTTTCTTTAGCACAGTTATCGAAACTTAGGAAAGCCCAAATATCCACTGTGGCCACGAAACCTTGTAAAGGACGACGAATTGTTTAGTCAGCGACCAACCAAAGTTTGTTTGTTTAAAACCAAAGTTCAGAACAGCCTGGTTAACAGTATAGGGTTTAGGGCTTAAACCCAAAGGTCCAGGAGTTTATTAATACAAACACGGTCAGAGACAGCGTATCATCACAGTAACACTCACGAAGCAACGAACAGCCAGCAGATCGAGTACTCTCTGGTAGCACTTGACAAGTGCTTATTACCTCTTGACGTACGGGGTATTTATAACCTACGAATGGTCCTTAAACACTTCTGAACTCAATCCGGGCACTGCTCTCTGCCAGCGGGATTGTCCATATGAGAGTACAGTGATATAAGAAGCAAAGTACATATGCCTTTAAAAAGGCGAGATATAACTCACCTACTATACGAAACGGAAGGCGAGTTATAGCTCATTATGATCTCAAACCGCACTACCACCAAAAGATTATATCCAAAACCAAGCTCAAGTTCCCGAGTGGATTTAGCCTCGACAAGGACTTACAGAAACTCCTGTTTGAGGTTTGAGAAGGTAATGGTTTTGTCTGCATCATGATCTCTGAACCTCGGCACGATGGTCACCGTGATGTCAGTGCTGTAGTCCTCAATGCCTAACCTTCTGAGCGCAAGGCCCGTGGTAAATCGGACGTTCAGCTCGCGGTACAAGTCCTCATTGGCCACGGAAATCTGGGAGGTGACGCTCTCCATACTCGCCACTCCACTGGGAAGATGAGTGAACGTGCCCACGTAATCGGACTGGTCCATATCCGAGTCGACGTTAGCGCTCGGGAAGTCGACGTAAACATCAAAGCGCACGTACATCATCTCGGGAATTTTGACCTTCTCCATCACAACCCCCTCGCTCAGCTCGCCAATGTGCTTCACCTGCGTACCCTTCAGATCAGCCTTGGTAGGAGCTCGTCGATGAAGCTTAAAGCAGACGGGGGTGCTTCCGATGGTGTTATTCGCATTCGCGACCACCTCCGGGTAGTCGTCGGGAGTGGACGACAACTGCGTAGTTCTGAAGCTCGGTTTGCTGGCTTTGGGCTTGTGATTTATCCACAGGCTGTCTGCTTCGCTCATGTCTTGGTACATGATTCCCAGCTTGGCATTGCTGAGAGTATCCTTCACCTTCACCCTCACCATGTCTTTGTTCTCGTCGAAGAATGTGAATTCTGTCTCCAGAAAGTCGACGTCATCGAACTCCTTTCTCGTCCTGGTACCATCCACCGTCACTCCATCCGGAAGAGTTTGCCACACGTCCCACAGTCGATCGACATTGGCGTGGTGAGAGTAAAAGAGCGGATCCCTGCCCGAGTAGGTGAACACCCCCATGTCCTCGTTGTCGGGGAAAGCCGAGTTGTTCAGCATGCCCACCCATTCGTGCGCCGTGTTGTGGAGAAGCTCTGAGCCTCCAGACTCAGCACTCGCGTTTGCGTTGCCCGCAGCCGACAAGTCTGCGCTGGTGTTGTATTTACCACCCAGGTACTCCTGAGCGCTCACTTTGTTTACCACCATGTTCCACACCATGCACAAGTTCGCGTCCCTGATCTCCTCGGGGGTCGGGATAATTCCCGCCTTATCCTCAGCTGGTTTGAAGTTCAGAGTCATAACCCTCGGGGGGTAATGGTTTTGGTCTCTAATTGCACCCGCGTATAGGTAGAAATTGTCGATTGCTGGATTCGGTGGATTGTACGGGACGAACATCTGAGGCATTTGCGCTGCACCCGCGTCGAGCTGATTGTCCCAGTTCCAGAACGGGAGAGTGAACTCCGGGTCATTGATCAGACTGCCCAGAATCCTCTCGTGGTAGTAGAGCATCATCCTGTGCCACGGGAGGAAGGTCCAGCTGTAATGCAGCTGGAGAGGATATGGTGTAGGAGTCCCATTCAGATATCTCGACAAGAAAGCCTCCACGCAGAACGCGCAGTGAACGTGCCATTGTCTGAGGAAGCTCCGGGGATCTTCACGGGGGAGCTCCTTCATTCTCTTGTAGGCCAAGTTGTATTTGTTCACGTACTCCACATCGTTGGCAAGCTCATGCGCAGGCCTGCGCACAAGCATCTTCTTCCTCTCCTCAAACTTGAACAGGATGGGCTCCCGCTCCGGCTCTGGAAGACAGCAATCTTCGGTTTTGTTGTTGGCGATGGCAACAGGCCTGCATTGGCGAAAGAGGCTTGTACCCAGGACTGGTTCCGCTTCGGCGCTCTGCATCAGATACTGCAGGACGAAGACCGTCGAGCACAGGTACGAAGCCCATTTGAGCCTCCCTCTAGTCTGCAAGACGATTGCACTGATTCTTCCCAAGCCTTGTTGCTGTGACGACGAATCTCCCATCTTGACAGAAGAGATGGATGTCGCGAGCGAGTGAAGCTGCGTATGATTCAGAATTCTTGAATCATGTGAATGTGACCTGTGCATACATGTTATTAAACACTATCAGTGTGGGAGCCTTGGCAGAGGAAAATAATTGTGCGTTCTCCCATACAAACCGATTGTTTGCTAGCTCCGCAGGCACCCTGTATTTGATCAATAATGCATAGCAACCAGGAGTTGTCTGCGACTAAGAGTTCTCTCGAAATGACGCAGAATAAATCTTTCTTCTTCAAGCTAGGACTTGGGAACACGTCAAGAATTCAACTCAAAATCCGGACTGGACAAAAATCTCTGTTTCGTAGCATAATGTCACTACAGGGCCAGCTACTTCATGCATTAGATTTGCTCGAAATACCACAATTCTTCACTGCTCGTGTGCACCGAGAGGACTGCAACGAAGATCCATATCAATGAAGGTGTAACTTACGTGTGAACAGCCGCTTGAACTTTCAAAGGAACCAGAGGGCTGCGTATGACAATCCAGTAACCAACAAGATGAACGTGGAACTTCGCTACTCAGAGGTACTTAAAATATTGCTCTGAATCCAGGACTCAGAGCAAGCTTTCAAGCTGCTTCTGCAACTGAACGAGGATGATATGGCAGTACGAGGATATAGGTATATATAGTCCAAGCCAGCCAGTAGAAACAAGGAGACGTCATTTGTGTACGTCAGCCTGGCTATATGGAACTATGGACTACATACTGTCTAATAATTCTGCAATCCTAGACCCCACGGCCTTCGAGAGAAACTAGTTAGTATTGCAAGGTTATAATGATGTCTTATCACTCTTTGTACAAAATGCGAAAGAACTCCAAGGTAACTTATACGTTAACTTGGTGTTTTTATCTTGACACATAATTGTGTATTGTGGATTACATTGAATACACAGTTTTGAATTTTTTATGATTAAACTACAATTTTCTTCATTTTATTGAATCACTTCAAATATGTTTTATATAATGTAATTAAATAATTAGAGTCTTTGTATAAGGATATCAAACGTAATGGAACAGAATATTCCAGAATTAGACGTACCACAAAGGCAGTATTGTGGAGAACGTTTCCCTTAAAAGTTCACTAAATAGCAAAGAAATTGGTTCCGCGGTGACAGTGGATCATATCATTCATCAAATCGTCAGTCAAGATGTGACAAACGTCGTATTTGTAGCATTTTGTCCTGCTGTTTAATTTGTACAATAATGCGCCTTGCCCCAGGTATTTTCCATGTACGGCTTGATGGGTTTCGAGGTGTTCTTGTGAGTTTCAAAATATATCTCAATGCTGCGAAAATTGATGGGTTTTGTACAACTGTACCAGTTTACCGCCACCAGTAGGTACTTGCTTTCGATGCCAGCGTGTAAAGTGATAAGACCACTAATTTCGATGCCAGCGTGTAAAGTGATAAGACCGCTGAGATAACTGTGCACTATGGCGGTTGCCAATTTATCCTGTAAAGCACTGCAAAACCTTTAGCTCTGCTGTCCCAGAGCCCTACAACTTATGTCACCATAACCTACTCCTTAGTGGTTCATTTTCCACATGCCTTATTAGCTTGGAATCTCGAATTCTTCAGATCTGCATTCGCCCATGAGCTTGATAGTCATATTTGTCTTCATCCACAGCTTTACTGTGAACCATATTTCTAAGGCACTCAGTAGGGACAAGCTAAATCAGCTTGATAGTCATATTTGTCCTCATCCACAGCTTTGCTTTGTACCATATTTTTAAGGCCCTCAGAAGGGACAAGCTAAACACCAGCAGAAGAGGCGTTACGTTATCAATAACTACAAGTATCTTTTATAGTTGATGCTTTGGAGATTGGTACTTTTGATATTTGGCAGATCACTCCAGTTAGTTTGGTTCATAAAACATATTCTGAAGACATTCCGATTGAGAAGAAATGTCTAGCAATTTTGGGTCACTTATATTTTGTTTCTAGAAAATAACTACACTGCAGTAAATGATTGAAATGCATCTTATTTGATAGGACTTTTAAGGTTTTGTTTGGATCATTTGTTTACTTGTGGCCAAGATGGAGCGAGCTTCATCTTCAGATATGCGCAGTAGAAGGTCTATGCTGGTAGCGAAATCGTGTAGAGCATCAGAAACACTGTTACATACCAATGACAAGTCGAGCACTCTTGGCTGTAGAACCATCTTCACTGGCCTTGCAGGCACTGAAGTGAGTCGTGAACTGTGTTGTGTACCAACTGCTGATGCTGGCGGCCTGGACGGTGCGAGCGCACTTATTGAGGCGATTTCATTGCCGACGCTCGGACTGAAAAGGCTGATGTACGTCCTCGCAGCCTTGACGTAGGCCCATGCCGCGTTCTGCGCGGTGACGTAATCGGCCGCGAGTAGGCCGCGATGCTCACGTGCCTTGAAGCCTTGGAAACTTGTGCTTGCGTCTGAGACCTCGATGGTACGGATCTTCCAACGTGCTTCACACAATTCGATGCTGAGAATGCCTGGCCTGGCCTGGCGACTGAATGTGCATTTCGCACCCAGCTATCGCCTTCTCAATTGAACGTGCTACATATCAATCGCCCCTTAACCCTTGTTACCCGTTCATCTGCCAGTCAATTTTTTTTCTGCCGTCACGAAACCACTGCTGACGCCATGCCGGGAAGCAAGAGTTCAGATTACATCGAGTCTGATCACTCTACAGATCTAATTCAGCCCCTCAAAGCTCGACTATGATTCACAGTCGAGCTTGGGATGGAGGCAATTAGTCGTGTACGGAGCTCCCGAACTCCCCAAGTCTCGACTGACCTCTCACTGGAGAGAGCTTCAGCTCACAGCAATCTACGTCTTGTCTTGGTCACTAGCAGAGAGGGAATGATCAAATAAACACCCAAAGCATCCCAGCGAGCTGTGTGGAGTGGATTTCTACCTCTTTCCATTTGATGTTTTCAATCTTTACTTTCTGAATTGATGGAGAAAGATGGTCGGTTGCTGTGCCGAGTGGATTTCTACCTCTTTCCATTCGATGATTTCAATCTTTACTTTCTGACTTGATGGAGAAAGATGGTCGGTTGTTGCTCTCATGCATCTCCTGACGTAATATTTAACGCAACCAAATTTGACGTCGTCGGGACAATAGGCTTGGAAGAAGCGGATGAAACTCTATTGATGCCCACAGGCAGTTTCGATATCATCCCGTAACACACCTTTTAGGGTCTTTCGTGAGAAGATTGCCAATCAGTTCTCTCGATGATAATCTAGAGAGTATGGACTAACCATGAATGTCCGGATTGAACAGGGGTTTTCTTTCTTATCGAAAACTTCAAATTAGTTGATATATATCCGAGCAGAAAAAGCAATCTGTGCTTTAATTACTACTGATATGCCGTCTACAATGAAATTTCTGATTTTGCGAACGCAGCTGATACATGTACCAGTTCTAATATCGAATGAATGAAGCATTGGGAATTTTACTGGGGTCTTATGGATCACATTTTGGTATCCATGAGAATGAAGAAGATAGTGAAGGGTCTACCGACATATCCCAGATTCCACTCTTATCTGTTCTGAGAATCTTCGCATCTCATGTGTATTCGTACCTACGTTAGACGACTCGTACGGTCCGATCTTGTACGGTCCGAGGTTGCACATAAGCAACATGTTTATCACATTTGAATAAGGAGATGTCTGCAGCTTGAGCTCGATCACGTTCGTCTGACACCTCGTGGGTACCGATGCTCACGGCTCGGCTAACGGCTAGCCGATTATGCAGCCGGCTAGCAGTCGGCTAATCGGGTCATAAAATCGGCCGCTATCCGAGACATAAAACGAACCGAAAACTCGGACCGAGTTCACGTTTACAGAATTATTCAATAAAAATTTATTAGGTAAATTGCAAACGGTTACCCGGCTAAATTTCAAGCGTTACCAGGATACTTGACCATGTATGTTCGTGGGTAGTGATGGGTATGTATTAAACTAGAGTATTGTACACATAGTATAATACCGAGATAAATGTATATTATTCTATTAAAATTTTCTATGCGTAATTCTCATTTGAATCATCATCTTGACTAAATGCTTCCAACTCTAATCGCTAAAAACAATCACTTGGCAATATGTTCCAATCCAACCTTATATTTCATCCATTGTTGCGGTGATTCCTGGGTGTTTATTTTCATCAACTGCAATATTGAGTGATGACAATCTCTTTAGGAAATATTTTCTCCTAATCTCTATGATATATAATCTGTCTACGACGAACCTTGCCATAGTATCATATTGCAGTCTTAGGTTTGACTTTTAAATTGTACAATTTGACTCTAGTTTTGATATGCACCCGCTTGTCCGTCTTGTATACCGAGTGAATGGTGAAATATGTTCAAATTGCGGTGCGTGAGTTGAAGTATGGAGTCTCACCAATGCATTTTCAAATCATTTCCATGCACTTTAAACGCTTTTATATTGCACTTTGGATCAATGTACAAGTTCAAATTTGTATATTAGTGTATAATACTATATTAAATTTGGACTCTCACCATTATACCGAACACTACTGGGTAACACGAAATGGAGGACTTTTCGGTGTCCATTTGAAGTGAAATCACTTCTTTGGTTATAACTCTGACAACTTACTTCAAACTCTCCGTGGGTGCACGGTAAACCTAGACTTCTACAGTACTCTACTGATCTCCACAGAATCGTTCCAAAACTTCCCCTACGGACCTCGAGATTACGACGTACAGTATGACTACTGCAACTGGAAACTGTAACGGACCAGCATATTCCAGAACATGCGCAGATCGAGCTAACCCTCAATTATTGCTGTTGGGAAGTTGTGATGATAAGAACCGCCGCTGCCATTTTGTGAAATAGAAACCCAACAAAAGTCCACGAAACAGCAATGATTTGCACTTCCCAATGAACTTTTATTGAACGATTTCGATTCCACCTAAGAATATGTAATAAATAAATACTAAAAGGATAAGCTTACCCGTCAAGGCGCCACATACAACAAACCTAAGGAGTACGAACGGTACATATTGACAGCAAAAAAGTTTATGCAAAATTTTATATGTTGGTATGGTATGCACTCTCTTTGTAACATGCCCAAGCCAAAATTCATGATTCAGAGTAAAAAATTATCACTTTGCATAAATAAAATATCTGGATTCATTCTACTACTGTAAGCAAATGATATATAAAAATTACAGTAAAAGAAATGAGTAAAAATGTTATTGCAGGTACAATAACTTTCATTTATGCTTCTATCTAGTTACAGGAATTAACACTTTAAGCTATTTTGATATCATCAAAGAAAAGTATATACAACTTGAAAGTTACATTTAGTTTCATTTCAGTGAACCGATAAGTGGTTGTTCATCATGTCACATCATGGATGATTATAATGTAACTTTCTTCTAATCATATTCTCGCTACTTGAGTCATTTTCAAGCCAAATGACGAAAGTATCAATAATGCTTTATTACCAAAATCATGAAAAATTGCAAATCAAAATTTGATTTTACTCTCAATAGTAGAAAAAAATATATCAAGATCAAATTTATCTGAAACTTTCAAATATTGACAGTTTTTTATCCAAAACATTTGTCTTCGATTATTTTTTAGTAGTAAAATTTTTGAAACATTCTGAAATATTTGATTTGAAAATATTAGTTTAAGTTTGTTTTGTTCACCTATTTCATAAATTTTGAGACCAAGATTTGTCAATATAACTATCAGACTTCATTGTATGTAGTAATTTTTTTAATCTTTTACTTCAAAAATAATATAATTTTGTTTAGAATTAACAATCCAGTGAAATTGCAAACAATGTGT